CCCCAAAACCCCAAAACCCCAAAACCCCTTAACTAGGTATACTTCATAATCTCCAAGAGTATAATATTATTAAGAAATCAATAATCATCAATAATTTTTTGACTTGCTTGTTAAAAAATGAACAGCAGCTTTTCATTTCATCTTAGTTGTTAATTTATTTCATTCATTGTCTCAACACTGAAATTCAATTCTCTGATACTTGAAATATGTCTATTTTTATCAAATTTATCTCTCTTGAGTTATATGTCAATGATTCTTATAGGCTAACTTATATTTCCCTATGCAATACTCATTAATGACTGAGAAGGCATTTCACCTATGTGAATTGATTTTGCTAGCTCGATTATTTTGAAAGTTTAAAACTGCATTAGCAGTAACTTAGACTATGTTTTTATCAGAGTAAATGCATTCATATTCTAAAGTATTGACCATTCACCATTTGTATCAATCTCTTTTAGAATAACTTTTTCTTATAAATTGTAAATCTGTATCAAGCCATGCCTTGAAACTGCGATATTATTGTTAAGCATAGTTTCAACAGAATAAAAGAAGTAGTCTCCTAGTTATTTTATTTTATCTATTTGCACATTTTCATTCTTTGATTTTTCTTCAGAAATAAGAACTGATTTTAATTTCCCATCTTAATCCCCTTCTTCGTCTCCTAGAAAATAGTAAATACCTTTATTAGTAGCTACAAATACCCAATATTTTGTAAAATCACTCAATACACAAGCATGATTAATCTTGGCTTCATTGTCTGGCAGGTTAAAACCAAATGATATTTCAAGGCTTTAGAATTTTTCAGTATCTTAAAGGAAGAAGAGGCTGTTATCAGACAATCCTATAAGAGCATTTCTAAATGTCTGGAAATCTTTAAGAATAATTGTTTTAATCTCTTTTTCAAAGTCAATAGTGTAAATATTAGCGAAATCATTTTTATTGCATAGAATTTTAAGGTATCTTCCGCAGCCAGCAAGAATGCATTAACTATTAGAATTATAAATGTTTCTACAATTGAAAAGCATGCATGGTTGGTTATCTGTCCCAGCTCTTTCATTGATTCCTCTAATTAGATCTTTGTTATCAATTGGCTTTTTCAATTAGAAATTCTAATCAAAGACAAGTATCATACCTAATTCTCTTCCAACAATTATTTTTTCTTCGTAACCATACACTGCTGTAAATTTAGCGTTTTCTGCATTGAGATCTCTTTTCTATGTTTTCCAAGGTTTATAATACTTTTTATTAAGTTTAGTAATTGATTGTCTTTGTAAAGGTATGACTCTATTGATTTAATTAATGTTTGTTTTTTATTGCAATGCTCACACTTAAAAGTAACCTCTTAACTCTTTTAACTGCACGAGATCACTTTCATTTAGTTTCATATGGTAGATGCACTTTACATTATTAGTTATTTTCGATAATAACTTTGCTTTTTAAAGCTCTAGCATTATTTCAGAGTACTATTAATACATGGTTTAGTCATCTAACTACTCTAAGAAGAATTTCAGAGATTCTGAGGCATTGGGTCGATCTGCAGGACTAAAATGAGTAAATTTGTTGAGTATTGGCTATAACGTTGTATATTGCTCTGGTAAAATGATGATTTCTGGATTACTTGCAGTTCTTTACCTAAATTTAGACAGCAACTAAATCAATAGTTCATACAGAATAACTCCTATGGACCAAATATCAACCTTCTCGTTATAACCCACTGTTTAAACTTATATAACTTCTGGAGCCATATAATCTATTTTCCTGCATTATTGTGAGCGGTTCCAAACTTAGCTACTCCGAAATCAGCTAGTTTATAGACTTTTTATTCTTCAAAATATAGAATGTTTGCAGCACTTATGTCTCTGTGGATAGTCTTGTTGCTATGAAGGTGCTCTAAAGCCATTAGGAGTTAAACCATGATTTTGCAAACCTGAATTCTGGTC